TGTCCGCTGCACCACCGAGGTGCCCCCATCAGAAGGCTGTTGCAATAGCCTGGGCATGAGGTGATGAGGGTAGGGACCAGGGTGGTAGCACTGTCAGAAGAGAGAAGGGGCATATAAGAAAGTGTTACGTAGAAATGGAAAGACTTGACTGCTAATTATAGAGGCAGGAGTTAGGGGTTCAGAGTGACACCCAGGGTGTAAGCCTCAGTTTCGACCCTACATTGGGCATCACTACTGTGGCTTTGTGCAAGAACTTGGACTCCATGAGCCCCTCATTCCTCATCTGTAAAATGAGGAGGTAGAAGTTCATGACCTCTCAGGTCACTTCCAGCTCTAAATCTATGAACTGATAACACCAGCTTGATGGTGCAGTGGACAGAGCTCTGGACCTGCTGTCATGAAGACCTGATTTCAAATCTGGCCAGACACATTAAGTCTGACCTTGGAGTAGTCACTTAACCTCTGTCTGCCTCAGCTTCCTCTTCTGTAAAATGGAGATAATACCACCTACATCATGGGGTTCTTATGAGGAATAAATGAGATAATATTTATGCAGGGCTTAGCAAAATTTAAAATGTTAGGTAAATACTTTTGATTATGACTATTATTCACAATGATTTTCCTTTGTAGTCTTTTTGAGAGGCAATGGGGTGAAGTGACTTGCCCAGGGTCACACAGCTAGTAAGGGTCAAGTGTCTGAGGCCACATTTGAACTCAGGTCTTCCTGACTGAATCCAGGGCTGGTGCTCTATCCACTACACCATCTACTTGCCCCTTTTTGTAGTCTTCTTGCAAGAAGAAAGAATAAAGTAGTGGTATGAGCAACTTCTTCCTTACACACACAGGTGATGCACTTCCAGAAGTAGTTCTTTGAAATAATCAATTCCCTGGCAGTAAGTCTTTACTTTTGTTTTATTTTTTGGTTATAGCTGAATATGTCTTACCTCCACCTCCAAAAGACACACACACACACACACATTCACACACTCATACATGAATATATTTCACCCATTCCTTTGCACATCCTGGCTGGGAACTGTGCATAATAAAATGTATGTGATCAGTCTCCACAGCACCTCTCTCTGTTCCATCCCTTCTCTGAGGCAGATTGCTTTACTGTACAGACTAGAGCTGCTGCATTCCTCTTCTCTGCCTCTTCCTCCTTCTTCATTTTAAAAATTATAAACTCATCACTCCACAAGCACAAACATTGTGATTCATAAAGAACACAAAAAAGAGGGTGGTGGATAAAGCCATAAACTCTTATTCCATGCAGTTCTTTTTTTTTACAGTATTACATTTAAGAAGGCAATAATAAAATTATTTACTGTCCTCTTCTCATATTTTTTTAATGTATTTTATTTTTAAATGTGTTACTGATACTCTGTTCTTTTTTTTCCCCTTAATTGCTATCACTTTCTCCAAAGGCAGCATCACATAGTGTCTAGAGACGGGGTCTGAGAGATAGGAAGGTCTGGGTTAAAGTTCAACCTCTGATACACACCTGCTCTTTGATCTAAGGCACAACACTGGTCCCACAGGCAACTCTCTAAGATAAGAAGTTGCAGCTCAACAGAAAATCTGATCTTCAAATACAAGACTCAAGAGAGACATAAAAAGGTAAACGGGACATAAAGAAACAACATGTCATTAATAAGGGCAAACTGTTTACATCCCTACAAGGGAAGATGAGAGTTTTAACCCTTGCAAACTGCACTGTCATTACACCATGTTAAGGGGAATACATAAAGTGGGTACGTATAAGTAGACTTTGATATGATGATAAAGATCTAATCAAGTGGGTTAAATGGATCCAAGTAAGTAGATTAACCTCATCTAAGAAAATGTACTGAGAGAAAAGAAAATGAGGTAGACAAGGGTAAACCACATTACAGGAAAAGGCACAAAAACCTATTATAGCAGAGGGAAAGGGAGGGAGATGAGCATTGTTTGAACCTTACTCTCAGCAGATTTGACTCAATAAGAGAAATAACATAATCAGTTGCATGCTAATATTGATAGATTAAACCCTTCTCAGCAATACAAGGATCTAAGACATCTCCAAAGGCCTCATTATGGAAAATGCCGTCCACATCCAAAGAAAAGAACTATGGAATTTGAATGCATATCGAAGCTTATTATTTGCTTTTTTTTTCCTTCTGTAGTGTTTTGTTTCCTCTTTCTGGTGATTCCTCTATTGGTTCTAATTCTTACAACATGACTAATGTGAAAATATGTTTAGTAGGAATGTATATGTATAACCTATATCACATCGCTAGCCATCTTAGGGAGGAAGGTGGGGAGAAAGGAGGAAAAAAATTTAAAACCCAAAAGCTTATGGAAGTGATTGTTGATATGTCAAAATAAATTAATTAAAAAAAAAAAGATAAGAAGTTGCAGAGAATGTCTTCACCTGCACTGGTATAGAATGTTTGTTCATCTGATTATACCTTATAGCAATGGAGCTAAAGGTCCAGTCTCTCTTCCTACCAATTTCCACTAACGCACACTGCCTCCTAATTTGAACCGCCCCTCCCCAGCCCCACTGAAAAAGATAAGTATAAGCAAGCAAGAAAAATCAAGATATTCACCATGCCTGAAAAATGTGTCTTTTTCCAAACATCTGTTCCATCAGCTGTCTGACACAAGGTGGGAGCAAGGCTTCATTATCAAGCTTGTGAAGTTAGGATTTCCCTAGTCTCTTTCCAGGTACAGTTCTATGTTTACAGCTACTACCCCATACACTTCATGAACAGTTTAGAGTGCCTATTTAAAGCATAATTCTGACTCTGTGATTTTTTTAAATGCACAGTTTAGATACAAACTCCATACAGAACAGGACCTGGTACCTAGCAAGCCCTTAATAAATGCCTGTTTCCTTTGTTAGCCACATTTTCTCTCTTGCATTTATTGTCTTCCCTACTTTTTCTCAAATTCCCAGAAAGTTATTTCTGACTCTACTTCTCACTCAAATCCTTTCCCCTCATCATTTAAAAAAAATATTATTTATTTTAAACATTATTTTTTAAATTGAGTTCTAAATTCTCCCTCTGTCATTCGGAAGACAAGGAATATGTCAATTATACATGTGAAATCACAGAAAACATATTTCCATATTTTAGCCATGTTACCATGTCATAAAAAAGGAAGAAAATTAAAAAGTAAAAGAATATACTTCAATTCATACTGTTTGTCAGGTCTCTCTGTGTTGAGGGCCAGCTCTGATGGGTCAGAGGATTCAGGCCAGTCCAGGTTTTCCCTGTTGTTTTCCTCTATCCGATGGCTGTGTAAGTCAGGAATGTTGGCTCTCCAACCTCCCCACCCTTACCCTCCACTCTATCTCTTCAGAACAGAAGGACCTTGAAGATAACAGGAAAGAGAGGAGACAATCAGGATGACTCCTCTGGTTAATGTTCCTATAAGAAAACTGCTTGTTGTTGCTTTTGCTAAAGGTATATAAACCCTTACCCTGAGATTAATAAACGGAGTCTGTCCTTTACAATCTCCAAGCTGGCCTGCACATTTCTTTCTCTCTTCATACTCGACCAGCATCTAATCACGGCTGGCAACGCAAGCACTCGAGGCATCTCTGGAGGTAGACAGCAATTTTTTTTTTTTTATCATGAATCCTCTGGAATGGTCTGAGATGATTTTCTTGATCAGAGTAATTAAGTCATTCACAGCTGATCATGTAATCATCATTAAAATGTTGCTGTTACTCTATAAAAGGAGCTCCTGGTTGTGCTCGCTTCACTCTGCATCTATTCACATAGGTCTTCCTAGGTTTTGCCAAATCATCTCCCTTGTTTCTTAGAGCACAACATTCCATCACAATCATATACAATCACCTCTTCAACCATTCAGGAACTGATGATCGTCCCCTCAATTTCCAATCCTTTGCCACCACAAAAAAGGCCCCCTATAAATATTTTTGTACATGTAGGTCCTTTTCGTTTTTCTTTCATCTCTGTGGAATACAGACCTAGCTGTGGTATTGCTGTGCAAAGGATATTTACAGCTTTATAATGCTTTCAGCACAGTTCCAAATCGTTCTCCAGAATGGTTGGACCAGTTCTGAATTGCACATAGTGTGCCTATTTTTTTCATATCCCCTCCAGAATTTGTCATTTTCCTTTTCTGTCATGTTGGCCAATCGGAGGTATTGTGAGGTATTACCTCAAAGTTGTTTTCATCTGCATTTCTCTAATATGGTTAGTGATTTAGAGCACTTTTTCATTATTAATGAAAGCTTTTGATTTCTTCATTGAAAACTCCCTGTTTATATTCCCTAACCATAATGGGAATCTTATGTATCTTCTCACGTGTGTCACCAACTGGATGACAAGGCATTTGGCTACCATAAGAAGGTCGTAGTCAATCCTGCTGTTTACCTGCATTTCAATGAATTTCTTCCCTTTGACATTCAGAGCACTGGGCAGAAATCACATTGTTTCAAAATCTGCCACAGGGCCTTGTGATGCTTTGTTTTAATTAAGATGATTCCAAGTCTTTATGGTCCACACTGCCTACCCAAATGAACATGAGCAGGAGCAGTACCAGCAAAATCAGGAACAAAGCTCATTTTGATTTATCAGATTATGATTTATTCCTGAAGCACCGTCAACTATTATTCATTACTCATTAGGCTCAGGCTCATCTGATAGCCAAGAGGTCATCCCCAAGCATCTTGCACACCACGTTCCCAGGGATCAAAGATAATACTAACGCTCTCCCAGTACCATTGTCCACTCAGTAACCTGTGACACAGCCAGCATAACCTCTCCATCCCTCAAGGCCCGTGGGAGGATAACACTAAATCTTTGCCCCTTTAGAGGTCTCTACAGAGGGAGGGATATCTTCTTCTCCCGTGCAGCCTAAGTAAAGATTCTCTGAACTACATCTAGGGACTCAGAATCACAGTCTAGTCAGCTGGGGGAATCTTCCCACACTCCTTATACTCATGAAGAATCACTCTAGCATGAATTCTCTGATGGACATCAAGTAGGTCCTTCGTCTAAAGGCTTTCCCAAATTCAAAAGGTTTCCCTCCAGAATTAAGTCTTTGATGTTGAGCAAGTTGTGTCTTCAGCCTGAAGGTCTTCTCACATTCACTGCATTCATAACATGTTCCTCTAGTATGAATGCTCTGATATTGAGTAAGACCTACACTCAAGTGGAAGGCCTTTCCGTGTACATTACATTCATAAGGTATGATGTGAAGTTGAGTAACATCTGACTTCTGAGAGAAGGGCTTCCTACACTACTCACATTCATAGAGAATTTCTCCAATTTGAATTCTCTGATGCACAGTAAGGTGTAACTTCTTTCCGAAAGCCTTCTCACATTCACTATATACATAGGGTTTTTTTTGCAGCATCAATTTTTGATGTTTAATAAGATCTGAGTTACAATGGACTTCCCAGACTCCTTACATTCATGAGGAATCTTATAAATTCTCTGATGGACTAAAGTAGTATCCTCAGTATAAAGGACTTCCTACATGCATTGCACATTTAAGGCTTCTCTCCTGAATGAATTTTTTGGTGTTGAGAAAGGTGTATGTTCACTCTCAAAATGTTCCCATATTCATTACATTCATTAGGCTTCTCTCCAGCATGAATTTTCTTGTGTCGAGTAAAATCTGAGCTGTAGAGGAAAGCCTTCACACACCCTTTACATTCATAAGGAATGTCTCAAGAATGAATTTTCTGATGCACAGTAAGAGACGCCTTTCTCTGGAAAGCCTTCTGACATTGATCACATTCATAAGGTTTCTCTCCAGTATGAACTCTTTGATGTCGAGTAAGTTCTGACTTATACAGGAAAGCCTTCCCACACTCCTTACATTCAAAAAGAATGTCTCCACTATGAATTTTCTGATGCACAGTAAGTTGTGTTTTACTCTTAAAGGCCTTTCCACATTCACTACATGCATAAGGTTTCTCTCCAGTATGAATGCTCTGATGCTTAGTATGACCTGCTGTCGTCCTGAAGGCCTTCCCACAAACAGTGCATTGATAAGGTTTCTCTCCAGTATGAATGCTCTGATGCTTAGTATGACCTGCTGTTGTCCTGAAGGCAATCCCACACACAGTGCATTGATAAGGTTTCTCTCCAGTATGAATTATTTGATGTCGAATAAGCTGTGAGTTGTAGGGGAAAGCCTTCCCACACTCCTTACATTCATACAGGTTCTCTCCAGCATGAATTCTCTGATGCACAGTAAGCTCTGACTTAATTCTGAAGGCCCTCCCACATTCACTACATTCATAATGTTTCTCTCTAGTATGAATGTTTTGATGTCGAGTAAGATCTGAGTTGTAGAGGAAAGCCTTCCCACACTCTTTACATTTATAAGGAATGTCTCCAAAATGAATTTTCTGATGCAGAGTAAAAGATGCCTTTGTCCGGAAAGCCTTCTGACATTGACCACATTCATAAGGTTTCTCTCCATTATGAACTCTTTGATGTTGAATAAGTTGTGACTTATACAGGAAAGCCTTCCCACACTCCTTACATTCATTAAGCATCTCTCTAGTATGAACTCTCTGATGTACTCTAAGTTGTTTCTTACTCCTAAAGGCCTTTTTACATTCACCACAGTCGTAAGGTTTCTCTCCAGTATGAATTCTCAGATGTACTATAAGAGAATCCTTACTACTGAAAGCCTTTCCACATTCCCTACATTCATGGGGTTTCGCTCCAGTGTGAACTCTCTGATGCAGCGTAAGCTGTGTGTTAATCCTGAAGGCCTTTCCACATTCACTGCATTCATAAGGTTTCTCTCCAGTATGAACTCTCTGATGCGCAGTAAGCTCTGACTTACTGTTGGAGGCCTTCCCACACGCACTGCATTCATAAGGTTTCTCTCCTGTGTGAACTCTCTGGTGCACTGTAAGCTGTGTCTTAATCCCGAAGGCCTTTCCACATTCACTACATTCAAAAGGTTTAGGTTTCTCTCTAGTATGAATTTTCTGATGTTGAATAAGAAATGAGTTATAGGGGAAAGCCTTCCCACACTCCTTACATTCATAAAGCTTCTCTCCAGTATGAATTCTCTGATGCACAGTAAGCTCAGACTTAATCCTGAAGGCTTTGCCGCATTTACTACATTCGTAAGGTTTCTCTCCAGTATGAAGTCTCTGATGCTCAGTATGACCTGCTGTTGTCCTGAAGGCCTTCCCACAAACAGTACATTGATAAGGTTTCTCTCCAGTATGAATTATTTGATGTCGAATAAGACTTGAGTTGTATGGGAAACCCTTCCCACACTCCTTACATTCAAAAAGAAACTTACCAATATGAATCTGCTCATGCACATTAAGATGTGCCTTTCTCATGAAGGCCTTTCCACATTCCTTACATCCATAAGGTTTTTCTCCTGTATGAATTTTTTGATGTTGAATAAGATGTGAGTTCAACGGGAAAGCCTTCCCACACTGCTTACATTCATAAAGCATCTCTCCAGTATGAACTCTCTGATGTACTTTAACTTGTTCCTTACTCCTAAAGGCCTTTTTACATTCACCACATTCATAAGGTTTCTCTCCAGTATGAATTCTCTGATGCACTATAAGACGATCCTTACTCCTGAAAGCCTTTCCACATTCCCTACATTCATGGGGGTTTCTCTCCAGTGTGAACTCTCTGATGCAGTGTAAGTTTTGTCTTAATCCTGAAGGCCTTTCCGCATTCGCTACATTCATAAGGTTTCTCTCCAGTGTGAACTCTCTGGTGCAGTATTAGTTGTGTCTTAATCCTGAAGGCCTTCCCACATGCAGCACATGCATAATTTTTCTCTCCGGTGTGAACTCTCTGGTGCACTGTGAGTTGTGTCTTAATCCTGAAGGTCTTCCCACACTCACTACACTCATAAGGTTTCTCTCCAGTGTGAACTCTCTGGTGCACTGTAAGTTGTTTCTTAATCCTGAAGGCCTTTCCACATTCACTACATTCAAAAGGTTTAGGTTTCTCTCTAGTGTGAATTTTTTGATGTTGAGTAAGAAATGAGTTATAGGGGAAAGCCTTCCCACACTCCTTACATTCAAAAAGCTTCTCTCCAGTATGAATTCTCTGATGCACAGTAAGCTCAGACTTACTCCTGAAGCCTTTCCCACATTTACTACATTCATAAGGTTTTTCTCCAGTACGAATTATCTGACACACAGCAAGATGCTCCTTGCTCCAGAAGGCATTCCCATATCCATTACATTCAAGAGGTTTATCTCCAGCAAATTCTCTGCTCTCTGAAAGGAAGAATACAGAGCTGATTAACCCTGCCTTTTTCACCCTTTGCCAAGGCTCTTAGTTGCTCAAAGGTTTTGGAGCTATTCTCTTGCCTTCTCACTTGAGAAGGCCAGTCTCACTAGCCTTCCCGTAGAGATTGGTTTATCTTATGTGAAAGCATAATGACTCCAACGTAACATGTAAATGAATTGACATAAGATGAAATTACCAAGGGGGATGAATGAACCCTTACTCTACTTTCACTGGCTGACATTTGAATGGAAAAGAATGTTCAGAAAAAAAGCCCAAGAGATGATTTTGATGTATCCTTACCCTCTGAGGTGAAAATAGGAAGGGAAACGACTGAACAGAAAGAAAATACAGAACTAAGTTTAGAGTGGGGAAGAGAAAGAGATATAAGAAGTCAACAGAATAAAGAAGAAATATGAGGGTGAAAACATGACAACTGTTGCTATAAATTTCCTCTAAAAATCTAACATATCTACTTTGTAAAAAATTGATTGAAATTTGTGAGATGTAGACCTACGGTGTTTTTGACAAGAGAAATTACTAATAATTACCTGAAACATTACTCAAACTCTGATAATCAAAGAAGCATAAATGAAAACAATTTTTGAGGTAGCAATAAACAGCCTTCAGATTAGCAAGATACTCGAAAATGATAAAGTTTGGGACTTATGTTAAAATACCTACTTATTAAGCTGCTGCTGCTACCATTTTCCTTAAAAGATAGGAATTTCGGCTAGAGCTACAAAACTGTTCATAGCCTTTCACCCAATGGCCCCAGTAGTAGGTCTGCAGCCTCAATATGTTACTGAAAGCAAACACAGCACTCTCAGCAAATTTTCACAACAGCTTTTCGTAAAAGAGCAAAATAAAAGAGGGCAGCTAGGTGGCACAGTGGAGAGAACACTGGCCCAGAAATCAGGAGGACCAGACTTCCAATCTGACCTCAGACCAAACAATTGCTATGTAATAGCTGTGTGATCCTGCGAAAGTTCCTTCACCCCACTGCCTTAAAAAAAAAAAAGTCTTCTTTAAAAAAAATAGCAAAATAATGAAAATCTGTAGGTGCAAAGATGAGGTTATGGCTATACAAGTCCTGTGACATGAACATATTAAAGTGCCTTTATAAACACAATTTCAAAGCATAAAGAAGAAAACAGGATGACACATAACATGACAGGCTGAAGAAAGGGGAATTAGGTTAGGATTATTTTTAAAAGTAGCAGCAAAGCAATATAATCATAGACACAAAACAAGAAAATATCAGAAAAGAACTCACAAGGAAAAAGAGCACACGACTTAATACTTTCAATACTGTGCTTACTTTACAAGAATGAATTCATGCAAATGAGGCAGATGAACTAAGGTGATCTTCAATGAACAGAAGAGATATAACTGCCCTGTACTGAGGCAACAACTTTCTTTGGGAGTGGAGGTACATTACAGTAAGGAGATACATTGAAAAACTAACTTCTTGAGGTAAAAAAATGAAGTTAAAACTCTCAACTCCTCTCAACAGGGCAGAGAAGCTTTGACAGACCACTTTGTTCAATGTTTTTCAAGAGCTTTGACCTAAAATGAACAACAGATTACAAGTTTGCAATGACTCATCTGCTTGGTTTTATGTAGTCACCTGGACAGCTGCTTCTTGGAATATCTGCCTCTGGCAAGGAAGACACTTCCTTTCTTTCCAACTGGTCACTGTCATTTGGTCTGGAAGCTGCAAATCCTGTACATTGAAAATGAAAAAGTGCTAGGCAGTCATCTCATATCGACTTCCATCATTGAAGAGATAGATGAAATACTCCCTCCAACTTTACTAGAAAAGTGGGGGAATAAGGATGCTAGATATATCTTATATCCCGAAGAGCACTATGTTAGCTGATTTTCTCTGAGTTTTTTTTTCTTCTTCAATAATGGGGAGCTCAATGGGTTGGTTGGAGGGAGAAGTAGGATTTTTTCTTTCTTTTTGTTTTTTTTTTTTTAGGTGGCAGAGGAAGGAGAAATTAAACCTTTTTTCAAAAAGTATCCACAAAACTTAATAAAAGAATTTAAAATGAGTTCAAACTCTCTTTGGAAAATAAGGAGGCATGCTAGGAAGACCTCAAGGATAGTACAAAAGACCACTGGAAGGATACTCTGTATTATGGTAAAATGGATTACTGAGTAGGACTCAAGGAAAAATAGTTCATTTGACTTGGTGACTGGTTAAGCAGTGGGAATACTGCATGATGAACCCTACATTAGGATTAAAAAGAATATCTTGGATTTGAGGTAATAGAGAGGGGAAGATACATCCTCAAGGATAACAACAAATCAAGAAATTAATTTCCAGGCATACTAAGCCTCGACCTTTTTCCTGCAAACAGGCAGCAGAAGTAATCTGTCTCTTGGCTACAAATGGATTAAGAAAAGTTTCCTTTTGTATGGCAAAGAACAACTGTTAAAATCTTGCTCTCACAGTATATATCAAGACTCCAAAGAGGTAGCTGTTCTTACCCAAAAAGACCAAGTTCCTATAGTTCTCCAGCATCACATCCCTGTACAATTTTTTCTGAGATGGGTTCAAATTGTACCCACTCTTCCTTAGTGAATTCCACAGCCACATCTTTGAATGTCACTGATTCCTGAAATACCAAAAACATTTGTGACTACCCAGCTATAGCACTTTACTATTATGAAGTTCAAATATAAACTACTTGCTATTAAGGTGAGGGAATTGAGGGTTTTAGGAGAGCAAGTGGTACAGGGAATTGAGGCAACTGAGTCAACCACACTGACTCCATTTTGTGACTCATTTCTGGAGGTAGCTCAGTTCTTTTTCTGTTCAATCACAGGTCTAGTCCAACTTCTGTATTGTGAGAAAAATTTATTCAATTGTGGGGAATTGGCAGATAACCTAATTGCATTGTTTGAACTTAGCCTTGCGTGGCTCAGAAATGAGACCTACTCTACCTGCTGTTTACTCCTTAAAGACCTAGATTATGCTGATCAGAAACCCACTCAAATGCAAAAAGAGTGATGTAAGGACTTTTCTCACAATTGTACATCTGAAGCAACAGATATGTCTTACCTGAAAACTGGCCCCCTACTGAACAATTAATTACTGTTCCCATGTTGCTTTCATTGTATACTACTTTGAAAAGTTCCCAGTCGTTTCTTCAATTAGAAATCAGATTACCTAACATTTTATTATTTGCTTTTAATTAATTGGTCTTCTTTGATTGTTTTTAATTTATAAAAGTATGTCTTGCCCTATTCAGGATCCAGCCGTAAGATGAGGAAGGGGACTGGTCCCACTTTTCTGTGCAATTGCCATGCATGGCTTAATATACTTATATGCCCAAAAGACTGAACCTTTGTTTCTTCAGCCATTTCATCTTTCTCTTGCCATGAGGAATTGTATCATTTATTTATTTCCATCCCAGTACAGTGTCTAGTATATACAGCAGGCACTTAAGAATTCCTCTCCCAAAAAAAACAAAAGTGTGTATAGAATGATTTTACATACACACACACACACACACACACACACACACACACACACAGACATTTGTATCTAATGGTAGCCATCCGTAGAGTTGGGGGGTGGGAGAAAAATTTATGTGGAATTTCATTATATATTTAAAAGGATTAGCAAGTTATAGATAACAGATTTTTAGTTTCCTATACAATCATGTTCTTTTATTCTATACGTACTGGAAATGCTTGCTTTATTCCATAAATTAAATATTAAACAAATAAAAATTTTTTTAAAAAAAGAATTCTTCTCTGATTAGTCTGTAAATTCCTTAAGGGAAGGAGTTATTATTGCAATCCTTGGTATCCTTGGCACTTAGCAGAGTGACTGGCACTAGGTAAGTATCTAATAAACGCATATTGTTGTAAATGGTTCCAACAGCATCCATTTTAAATTCATCCTTCATTTTTGTTTTCCACTGAACACCTCTGGCTCCTACTTTTACCCTCTGAGCTTAAGGAGTAATATGGCTAACTTGTTTTTCTACTCGCTGAAATAAACAATGAAAATGAAATAGCTGAAGATAGCTATCCTGTAGTCTGAAGTCTTCACTTCCAAACTAAACAAGCCCAGTTTCTTTGAGCAATCAGCCTGGTCTCTTCACAAGTAAGACAGCTACCTTCCTCTTTTCATCCAATCCCTGTGCTTCTTAAAATGTGCTGCTCTGAAATGAACACCATTGTCTTCCATGCTCCTGGAACCAGAACAGCAAAGGCAGGGGGGACTACAATCACCCTGTCTGTAACAGCATGTGAACACTTTTTCACTATTGAAAAGGGTGTTAAAGGACCGTTACTTTCCAATTAATGTATTTAGAGAGGGAAGAAACTTAAGAATCCAATTTTGCCATTTTACAAATTAGGGAAGTGAAGCCCTCAAAGGGAAAGCTGACTTACTTAAGGTCAAAAGGGGAGCAACTGCTGGATCTACACTCTGAGCACAGGTCCTCCTGGCTTCAAATCCAGGGCTATTCTAAATGAACAATGTTGCTATTCCCTTTCAGTATAACCAGACCAAGGCTACAATTCAGTTTCTGGACAAAAACATTCATAAGATCACTCTTTGGGCAGCAAAGAACTGGAAACAAACTGAATTCTTAACACTAAAGAACAGATAGAAAAATATGGCATATGAACAACAGTCATTTATACAGATAAAAATGCGAAATATAAGCAATTCTGAGAAGCATTTGAGGATATGCATTAACTGACAGTGCAAAATAAGCAGACCCAACAAAATATAATACACAAATACTTCAAAAATATAAATAATCAAAAAAAGATACTGAACTATGAAAAAAAACCAATCCATTTGAACATTTGGGGTGGATTCTCTAAATTTAATCATCTCATATTTCTTCTGAGCTACTTCCATTCTGCTCTGCTCATAGAGTGTAGCATCCTCTCTGATGAGGGCACGCCATGATGGGCAGTCCTGTACCAGTTTCTCTCAAGTCACATATCCCATTCCAAAGTTCTTAAAAGAGACCTTGAGAGTTTCTTTCTGTTACAGCAAAGTATTAGGAACAAAGGGATACCCATCAACTGGAAAATACCTGATCATTTCATGAAGTGGAATATTATTGTGACCTAAGAAATCTTGAAAACGATACTTTGAAAGAAAATAGGAAGACCTGCATAAAGCAATGAAGGGAGGAAACAGCAGAACTAAGAAAACAATTTACAAATGACAATACCATTCAATGATCAGCCATGATTCCAGAGAACTGATGATGAAACATCATACAAGATGAAACAAGGTATAAATTCTGAGAAAAAAGTGGTGACAAACTTGTTTATTTATTTTACATGACTACCCTTACTGGCTATAAATGCACTGTGTTTTTCTTTTTTTACTGGAGGTGCAAGGAGAGGGTAGCATGTAAAAGGAAGAGAGCTAGAGATAGTATTGTCAGAAAAAAAGAAAAAGATGCACAGAAGAGGAGGAAGTTGAAAAAGAAAAAGAGGACAGTTTTAAAAGTCACATGCTGAATTCATTACACGAAAACAACCCAAAAAATCTATAACCAAGTCTGAAAGAAACATGCAGTTTAGACAAAAGCCCAACAAGAACTGATGAAGTTGTGAACTGATCCAACCATTCTGGAGAGCAATTTGGAACTATGCCCAAAAGGCCTAAAACACTGCACATTTTTTAATCCAGCAATACCATAACTAGGTCTGTATACCAAAGAGATTATAAGGCAAAGGGACCAACGTGTACAAAAATATTTATAGCAGCTCTTTTTCTGGTGGCAAACAATTGGAAATTGAAAGGATGCCTATCAAATAGGGAATGGATGAACAAGTTCTACTTCCTGAATGTAACAGAATACAATTGTGCTATAAGAAATCACGAGCAGGGAGATTTCAGAATAACACAGGAAGACTTACATAAACTGATGGTGAATGAAGTGAGCAGAAAAACAGCGGAATAGTATGCACAGTAACAGCAAAATTGTGTAATGATCAATTTTGACAGACTTGGCTCTTCTCAGCAACACAATGATGTAAGACAATTCCAAAAGACTCATGAGGGGAAATGCTATCTACATCCAAACAAAGAACTATGGAGACTGAATTCAGAGCAAGCATACTATTTCCACTTTTTTTTTGCTTTTTGTTTTGTTTTCTCATAGCTTTTTCCAGCCTGTTCTGATTCTTCTTTCACAACAATTATGTTTAATATGAGTGTATATGTGTAACCTATAGCTGACTGTTTCCCATCTAGGAGAAACGGAAGGAAAGGCTGGGAGGGAAAAAAAAATTTGTAACTCAAAATCAAAAGTGAATGTTGAAAACTATCCTTACTTGTCATTTGAAATAAAAAACTATTAAGTGGAAAAATAAAATATAATTTTGAAAAGAGTTTATAACTCTTTCCCCAACTGGCTAACTTCCTTTTCATAATTTTTTCAATTGCTTTTATTGTTTTTCGTAATTTTTTCTCAATCTCCCTCATTTAATTTTTCGAGTTCCATTTTAAGTTTAATCAAGAGTTCTTTTTGGGCTAGTGACCATTTAACATTACTTTCTGGGAAAGGAGTGGCTTTTTTTACCTCACTATTTTCCTCTGAATATGAACCCAGATACTATTTATCACCAAAGTATCTATCTACAATTGGGTTCTTTTCCCCCTGCTTCCTTATTTTGATTTTCAGCAGTTTCTTATAATCAAGTTTTAATCCCCAAGTTCTGGGTAATGTTACCCTAGGCCTTAAGTCATGCTTAGTGTTGTTTTCTGAATTCTGTGGAAGGGCTCAACCTCAGGGACTCCTCTCTCCTCCCTTAAACCACAGTTCAGGCCTCTAGCCATTCTGCCCCCAAAATGTTCTTCGTCCCTGTGGTACTGCACTCACCAGGTATGTGCTCACTTCTCACCAACAGCTACAACCCCAGATAACTTCTGGTCAGCTCTGCTAGATCTAGCTTTGGGAAACAGAGGGAAGGGCTGGAGGGTTTTTCAGTCATCCTACATTCAGCCTTCTGCTGGTCCTTAGGCAAAGTTTGAGGTGCAAGCTTTGTGAGAAAATTTCTGGAGGCCTAGCTTGCTTCTCACAGAGCTGATCCAGGGCCTCTAATCTGTTGATTCAATGAAGTCAGCCTGGAAGTGACTACACTTCACTTACCCCAACACTCAGCCCTTGGAGGTCCTCTCTTTTCTAAGGTCATCTGAAGTTTTCTTAGGAGAACAACTGCTTTACCCCTTTATTTCTGCTGCTCTCCATTCATTTAATGGCAATTCTCCATGTGTTTGTGGAAGAAATATAGAGAGCATTTTTTTTGTGAATTTTCCTGTATTTTTCCACTTGGCCTGCTCTGTTTTTATGGAGTTATTTTCGTCAACCTTTTTTCGCATCTCATTTACCAAGCTGTTGACTCACTTTTCACGACTTTCTTGCTTCACTCTCATTTCTCCTCTATTTACTTGATTTTCAAAAGTTCTTTAAGCTCTTTCATTGCCAGACACCAATTCATATCTTTCTTGTAGGCTTTGGATGTAAGAGCTTTGACTTTGTTTTCTTCTGAGTATGTGTTTGGATCTTCCTTGACACCACAGTAATTTTCTATGGTCACAATAGGACTGTACTCACGCCTGTGCTCCACTCCCACCAAGGTGCAACAGACCCTTCCTGCTGACCTTCTAAGTTGTTTTTGGCATCTCTAGGCTGAGAGGTCTGGAAACCACCACTGCTGCCAGTAATTCAGTCACCCCAAGGCCTGCTACCAGTTTGCTGGGCCCTGATTGCCCTGGTACAACCTGTGTAGGACTGCACTACTCTCTCACCTTGGTGCAACAAACCTTTCCTGACAACCTTCTAACTTATTCTTGGCTGGAAAATTGTTTCACTCTGACTTTTTGTGGGTTCCACTGCTCTAGAATTTCTTTAGAATAATTATTAAAAGTATTTGGGGGGGGCTCAGGGGAGTTCCTGCCTTTTTTAAACTGCCATCCTGCTCCAGCTTACATTAAATTAAATTAAAAAGGTTTTGTATAAATGAAACAAATGTTGCCAAAGTAAGAGGTAAAGCAAAAAATTGCAAAAAATGCTCTCTAGATGGTCTCGGACAAAGGTCTTATACCTAAAATATATAAAGAACTTTATGAAATCTGTCATACACATCATTCCTTAACTGATAGGTGGCCAAAGGATATGAACAGGCAGTTTTGTAACAAAGAAATCAAAACAATTTATAGTCATGTGAAAAATGCTCTAAATCATAATCGATTAGAGAAATGAAAATTCAAACAACCTTGAGATATCATTTTATACCTATCAGTGTGGCTGAAATGATAGACAGAGAAAGCAACAAATATTGGGAGGGGATGTGGAAAAATTGGGACACTAATTCATTCCTGGTGGAATTGTCAAGTGATCCAACTATTTTGGACAGCAACTTGGAATTTTGCCCAAAAAGCTATTAAACTATCTGTACTCACTGATCCAGCAATACCAATACTAGATCCATTTCCAAAGATGATGAGGGAAAAAAGAAAAGAACTCATATGTTCTTAAATGTTTATAGCAGCTCTCTTTCTGGTGGCAAAGACCTGGAAATTGCAGGGATGCCCAAATAGTGGCGAATGGCTGAACAATTATGATAGATTTTTACAGTAATACAAGAAATTATGAGCTCAATGATCTTAGAAAGACTTACAGAGAACCAAGGGAACACTGTATATACTAATAGCAATGTTGTTTTAAGAACGAATTTGAATAAGTTATTTTGATTGCTGTAAATACCCAAATTAACTATGAAGGACATATGAAGACATTATCTGCATCCAGAGAAAGAACTGAAAATTAAAGGATGGATAGAAGAATTTTACATACATATACATACATACCTGCATACACACATACACAAGCACACATATGCTCCTACTTGTGTTTAATGGTAGCCATAGTGGGGAGGAGCGAGGAAAAAAAATTCACACGGTAACTTCGTAATACATTTAAAAGGAATAACAAGCTGAACATAACAGATATACAATTTCATATGTAATTCGTTTTTATTCTATGCTGTGAAAGTGCTTGTTTTATCCCATGAATTATAAATAATGCCAATAAATGTGAAAAGTGAGAAGAAACAGAAGACTGAGCACAGCAGCAGCAATAATGATCAACTGTAAAAGACTCAGCCACTCTGATGAATACAATGACCCAGGAAAAGTTTAAAGGACCCTTTATAAAAAACGGAGAGAACTGATGAACTTTGAGTGAGGATTGAAGCTCACTCTTTCTCACTTTCATTTTTTTTTGTTTTTGAACCAGGAGTAATATACAACTGTTCTGCATTACCTTACAGTCATAATGGCTACCTATCTTTCCCTTCTCAAAGAGTGGGGGAAGAACTGGAAGGTGGGAAAAGATTTAGAACATAAAATTAGGGAAAAAAAACACAAAGTAACTGTAAGGTCTTTTTTCTGTTTTTCAGTGTGGACAGGATGCAGTGGTGTCTGTGGTTATATGATTCTCTGATGCCCACGATTCCTAGTATTACAGCACAGGACAAAGAAACCTATCCCACGGTCTCTTGTCTGAGATGCTATTTGAGGAAAGCAGCAAGTGGCACTCACCTTCCCGGGCCTGGCTGTCAGGGCAGGAGCCATTCCCTCTTCCTCCAGGCTGTCCTCCTGGGGCAGAGCAGAGGCCACAGAAGGGAGAGCTGGGGAGTAAAGGAAAAGCAGGAGAGTGAGAGGTCACGCGGGGGTCTGCCCTGCTCAGACCAGACATTTCCACCGCTCCACTGATGGGAGATCGGGGAGGGGGACAGGGAGTTGGGGGCAAGACTGAAGGAGCATTAGAACCCGCCCCCAGGCTCCGCCTCCGCCTGCTCGGCCTCCAACCCCCGAACCCCACCCAAACACTGGCCGCCCCCAGAGCCCTGGGAGCCCTCGGGGCTTCCTTCCTACTCTGCCAGACGCTCCTCCCATTCTCCGTGAGCTCCCCAGCCAGCCCCCGGTGCGCCGACCCCGCCGCACCCCGGCACCGGTTCCGCCTGGCCTGGCCCGCTCTAGCCCGCTCACTCGGTCACACTTCAGCCCAGAACAGAGAAGGGGAAGCGGGAACCAGCGAGGGTGGAACAGGCAGAGAGAAAGGGAAGCGGAAGTGGCCTAGTAAGAAAGAAGTCCAGTCCTGCCTCCCTTGGGGGTTGGGAAAATGCCCCTGAGGTGAGCATGGCCTTCTGGGAATCGTAGTCTGAAGGGTGAGGCGCCTTCTGCGCATGCCTGGGGCTCGGCCCTTTTCCCCGTCCTTGAATGTGTACTGCCTCCCTGGCTGCCCCGCCTGGCTCTTCCTGCCAGCAGGCCCGCCTCCCTCCCCCCCGACTCCTCCCCTTACTTCCTGCATGGTCGTCAGAGCCCCAGAGCCCACGGGGAGTAACCAGGCGTGGGCTCACAGACCTCGAGGGCTCCTGCGTGGGTAGTCAAGGCCACACTCTCTCCCACTCTGGCACCCAGTCACAACAGGCCACGGCTCCAATGGAAGGCTTACTGTGCACCAGCATCCTGTCTCAGAAAGTGACGGAAACACGCAGGGAAGACAGGGCTCTGAGAAGGGAGACCACGGGCTGGGGCAGGATCCCCGCAGCGCTCGCTCAGCCCCCTGGGGCGTCCAGGAAGAGCAGGACACGAGTGGGCCCGGGGCAGCAGGAGCGGGCAAGGGGGCGCCAGCCAGGGCAAGGCCGTGCTGGCTTTGTGTCTGTTTCCTCTGCCAAGGAGGCTAACCCGAGGGAAACCAGGAGACGTGGAGAGCGTTTGGCTGGGCCTGGGGAATGCCAGTGGTCTGCTAGATGGGCTCAGTAAAACTCAGAGCTGACGTTTACATGGAGCTCATTGTGTTCCAGGCAGGGCTAAGTACCTTATAATGACTATCTCATCTGGTCTTCACAAAATCCCTGGGAAGCAGGTGTTGTTACAGACACCATTTTATAGATGTGGCAACTAGGGTGAAGTGACTTGCCCACGGTCCCCCAGCTAGCAAGTGCCTGAACTTGGATTTCAGCTCAGGCTGGGAGAAGTAACAGCAACAATTGGACAAGTTTCGTTCCAGAACGTGGCTACTTGTCTGGTGCTTTTTTGAGGTCAGAGAGTACCTGGTCAAAGCAACGTCAAAATTATGTGATTTTGCCAGGGGGTGAGCTCACCCAGATGGTGAGGACAGAGGATCTTTGTTATGCCAAGCTCAGGACACAGCTTACTTGCTTGGCCTTAGCCCTGGAAAACAGGGTGTCTACGAATATCTTGACAAGAGAATATTGACAAGCAATAATTTAGCCTGTTACCATAAGCCACCAAGACAGCCTCCCAAGCTCCTGATCTATGGTGCTGCCATCCTGCATTCTGGAGTCCCCGCCTGGTTCAGTGGCAGTGGGTCTGGGACAGACTATACTCTCCCAGTCATCACTGTAGATGCTGAAGATGCTGGACTGCATTGCTATCAAACATCATTACTGCTGGCCTGTCACAGTGATCCAGCCCTGAACAAAAACCTCCTGGTGACATTTGGCTGCCTCAGCTCAGAGCACAGCTGCTTAACCTTAGGTCAGAGCAGTGACTGCTGTCTTGTCAGGACTGAGCTCTGTTGCCCCACCCCCCCACTACCTCACTCATCCCAGGCCCCACATCATTCACACTTTACATTCTCCCAATAAAGGCAGGGCAGAGAGCTGAGAATAATCCTGATAGAGATTTGGGGGACTGTGGGAGGGACATAAACAAGTTGGACAATTAATATTAATATTGCATATACATCCAGAATTCTTCATTCTATCCCTCGTGTACATTGGAGAAGCAAAACTGTGGGTTTTACTAAAATGACAAATGCTGGCTTATTTTGATCCAAGCCTCACACCCTTCAGGTAAATCAGGCAGCTAGGTGGTACAGCCTGAAGTCAGGAAGAATCCTTTTCTTGAGTTCAAATCTGGCCTCTGACACTTATTGGCTGTGTGACCCCGGGCAAGTCACAGAACTTGGTCTGCTTCAGTTTCTTTATCCATGAAATGAGATGGAGGAAGAAATGGCAAACCACTCCAGTATCCCGGCCAAGAATACCCTAAATGGGGTCACAAAAGGGTCAGACACGACTGAAATGACTGAACAACAACCGACCTTGCATCCACGTCCTCATTCATTCACAGTCATTCAGGGTAAGTCACCAAGCATTTTTAAGCACCTTCTGTGTGCCAGGCACTGTGCTAAGTGGTGCAGGTACAAAGACAGGGAAAATCAACCTCTGCTCTCAAGGACCCAGTTAGTGGGAGACAACAACAACACCCAGCTATGTACAAGCAGTATGTAGGCAGGAGAAATTGGAGTTAGTCAGCAAAAGGTCAGTTGTGGGATTAAAGGGATGGGGGGAAAGTTCTTGCTGAATGGAGATGAGATTTTAGGTGGGACCTGAAGGAAGCCTGGCATGCCAGGAGATGAGCAGGAGGAAGGAGAGAGTTCCAGGCTTGCGGCAAAACGGGTAGAAATGCTCAGAGTCAGGAAATAGGTTGTTGGTATGTTAGAGTAGTGCAGAAAGACTGAAAAGGTAGGAGGCAGCCAGGTTAGGAAGAGTTTAGAAAACCTAATAAGACTTTATATTTGATTCTGCTATAGAAAACCACTGGAATTTCTTGAGTAGAGAACTGATATGAAGAGACCTGAAATAGAGGAGGATCAGTTGAACAGGTGAGAGGGAGATGGACTGGATCAGGGACAGAGTTATAGCAGGGAGATCCATCAGAACGCTTTTTTTTGTTGAGGGCAGTTGGGGTTAAGTGACTTGCCCAGGGTCACACAGTGAGTTTTAATGTATCTGGGGCTGGATTTGAACTCAGGTTCTCCTGAGCCAGTGCTCTATCTACTACACCACTTAGCTGCCCACATCAGAAGGTTGTTAAAATAGCCACGGCATGAGGTGATGAGGGTGGGGACCAGGGTGGTAAAATTGTCAGGAAAAGGGGGCACATAAGAAATGTATTAGGTAGAAATGCAAATACTTGACTGTAGATTAAAGAGGCAGGAGTTAGGGGTCAGGGTGACACCCAGGGTGTAAGCCTGATTTTGGACCCTACATTGGGCATCACTAGTGTGGCTTTATGCAAGAACTTAGACTCCATGAGCCCTTCATTCCTCATCTGTAAAATGAGAAGGTAGAAGTTCATGACCTCTGAGGTCACTTCCAGCTCTAAATATATGAACTGATAACACCAGCTTGGTGGTGCAGTGGATGGAGCTCTGGAACTGGTGTCTTAACGACCTGATTTCAAATCTGGCCAGACATATTAAGTCTGACGTTGGAGAAGTCACTTAACCTCTGTCTGCCTCAGTTTCCTCTTCTGTAAAATGGAGATAATAATAGCACCTACATCATGGGGTTCTTAGGAGGAACAAATGAGATAATATTTATGCAGTGCTTATCAAAATTTAAAATGTTAGGTAAATACTAGTGATTATTATTATTATTATTCACAATGATTTTCCTTGGTAGTCTTTTTTTTTTGAGAGGCAGTGGGGTGAAGTGACTTGCCCAGGGTCACACAGCTAGTAAGTGTCAAGTGTCTGAGGCCAGATTAGCTCTCAGGTCTTCCTGAATCCAGGGCTAGTGCTCTACCCTCTACACCATCTACTTGCTCCTCTTTGTAGTCTTCTTGTAAGAAGAAAGAATAAAGTAGTGGTATGAGCAACTTCTTACTTACACACATAGGTGATGAGCTTCCAAGAGTACTACTTTGAAATAATCAATTCCCTGACAGCTAAATCTTTACTTTTGTTTTATTTTTTGGTTATATCTGAATATGTCTTACCTCCACCTACAAGGGGCAGACACCCACACACACACACTCATACATGAATATACTTCACCCATTCCTTATCCACAGCTTGGCTGGGAGCTGTCCATAATAAAATGTATGTGATCAGTCTCCATAGCACCTCTCTCTGTTCCATCCCTTCTCTGAGGCAGATTGCTTTCCTTTACAGACTAGAGCTGCTGCATTCATCTTCTCTGCCTCTTCCTCCTTCTTCATTTTAAAAATTATGAACTCATCACTCCACAAGCACAAACATTGTGATTCATAAAGAATACAAAAAAGAGAGTGGTGAATAAAGCCATAAACTCTTATTTCATGCGGTTCTTTTTTGACAGTATTACGTTTAAGAAGATAATAATAAAATTATTCACTGTCCTCATGGTTTTTTTAATGCATTTTATTTTTAAATATGTTATTGATACTCTGTTAATTTTTTTGTTCTTAATTGCTATCACTTTCTCCAAAGGCAGCATCACATAGTGTCTAGAGACAGGGTCTGAGAGATAGGAAGGCCTGGGTTAAAATTCAGCTTCTGATATACACCTGCTCTTTGATCTAAGGCACAACATTGAACCACTTGGTCCCACAGGCAACTCTCTAAGATGAGAAGGTGCAGCTCAACAGAAAATCTGATCTTCAAATACAAGACTCAAGAGAGACATAAAAAGGTAAACGGGACAGAAAGTAACAACATGTTATTAATAAGGGCAAACTGTTCACATTCCTACAAGGGAAAATGACACCTGTAACCCTTGAGAACTGTATTGTTATTACACCATGTTAAAAGGTAATACATGGGGGGGTATAACTTGACTTTGATGTAATGATAAAAAAAAATATAATCAAGTGAGTTAAATGGATCCTACTA